ATTGAAAAGAGAGAGAAACTCATCTTAATATCTTTTCTCTCTCTCATCGTATACATTACCGCTTATACAAAGGATGCTCAGTCTATACTTACTATGGGCTTGTTCGTTTTAGCTACACTGGGGCTGCTCTGGGCACCGATCACGTAAATTTTCCCCTAGAACGAATCAGTGAGAAGTGACGAGTCTCATGCGGATTTCATTATTTTGTGATCACGTAATTTTAATTCCGGTGACAGAGTGAGACATTTAGCGTGAAACTTTTCACCAATAGCCGACATGGTTAAACGGTGAAAATCTAGTGTTTATTAACCTACACAAAATATTAATTGGTAAAATGGCCGAAATTTTTTGGATTTTAAATCTGGCAATAGAAGAAAAACGAAGATTAAAACTAATGCGCAGACATTTACGTGATGTTTCGGATCCATTCAATGTGTCTAAAACACAGTTCTTACAGTTATATAGGTATGCGCATATAAATATATAAAATTAAAGCAAATGTGAAATTGTACATAATGCATTGACACCTTCATATTTTTAATGAGCCTTTAGAAATATTTTTTATTAACCATTAACATTTAATTGATATCTATTTTGTATGGGTTCTCTATTTATGCAGATTAAGCAAAGAATGTGTACTAGATTTATGCAATAGTTTGCGACCTTATGTACCATAAGAACAACGCTCAACTGCAATACCTCTAGAATTAAAGGTGACTTATGTGTGTTAATATATTATTTTATTAAAGGATTAACATTCGTAAAAAATTATTTTAGTATAATCTTTATGTCAATATTACTTTCAGGTTTTATCAACTTTTTTTTTTCACCACCTGTACCCCTCGAATAATTTTTTCTCTTCGTCTCCTTTTTGAGGACGTTCATTCGCCAGTCATTCCAGCTCTATTATTATAAAACAAGTATTTACATTATGAGTATCAGGTAGTTAAAAAATAACAAAATTAGAAAAATAAGTAATATACTATTTTTTAATTGCGCTTTTACCTTTCTCCATTCTTCAGCACTCTTTTTGGGACCCTCACCAGAACAATTTAAAGTGTTCGCTAAGTTATCCCACATATCTTTCTGCAAACAAATTCATTATATATTATGTATATATGTAAATTAAAATATTTTTAATGAAACACATTATGCATATTTTTAATGTAACACATTATGCATTAATAATATAATACCATTGTCCTGCGGCTTTCCGATTTTCTACTTAATCGTCCTTGTAGTAATTTTCGATGTGATTCCATGTAATTTAATAGCATTTCTCTTTGCTTATATGTAACATTCATTTTTAAACTGAAATACATATACTAAATTAGAGAAATTTTTCAAATAAACGTTTATGTAATAAATTAATAAATTGTTTTAACTTACAACTTACAACTATTAGTAATAGTAATAAATTAAAGTAATAAATTAATAAATTGTTCAACTTACATTAGTAATTGTGTTTTTTATTGCCGTTGATTGCACTTATAAGTTGACTTATGTGACAATTAAACTCAATAAGATTGTCTTACTAAATTTAGGGTTATGTTTGTAATCGTGAAATTTTATTCAGTGTGGTTCTTGGGATATATTTTGTACTTGCACCGATATGTAAGTCCTCACTGCTTCTAGTGATGTCACTATTCATTTCTTTCACTACATGATCGCGGTGGAAATGATGAACGATGAAACCGTGAGATGGCCACCAATGAAAATCTAAAAGTGAACTATGTCACCGAAGAATACGTGATCGATGTCCTGAAATGTACTGAATCACTTATTGAGAGCCGAGAGAGAACCATATGCCGTGTATTGATGTCCTTTTTCGTACAGTCAAGTTTGAAACTTTTGACTGTTGTTTAGCCAAACAATAGGTACAATCCATATATGTAATACTACTATCAGAGAGAAACCTGAGAGAGGCCACGTTTTCCGTATTTTGACATAAAATACAAAATATCTTGTAAAACATTCAGTTTTTGAGAATGTTACCTTAATACTTTTATGCACAAAATAATGAGACAAATGAATTGGTATAAAGAAATCACATTGGTTTTAAAAAAAAGTATGCAGTTGCATGTTGCAAATTACATATTTTTTCTTGAAAGCAACTATGACTTTGGCATGTACACCCTAGGTTAAACCAATGTCGTCATCGGATGTCCCCCTCCAAACAACTTTGGTCTAAATCATTTTTCTTGAAAATGTCTCTCTGAAAAGTTATTCACGTGGGGTTTTTAAAATGGGACACTCTGTATATATATATTAAAACTACAACATTTCGTAAAGTTTTCATGTTTCTGGTATCTTCAGAAATCTAAAATTAATAATTTAATTGTTATTAATTATTGTGTAGGAGCGATCATGTACTTAATCTCATTATTTGTCAGTAAATTTACCTATGCAAAGAAATATCTTTATTTCTTGATGATTTTCTTCTGCAAATGTAGCAAGATCGCATTTTATTATTATTTTTATAACTTTTTAAAATTTTTTTAATTTTTGAATAAACGTTGGAATAAACGTGATGTTAGGAGAATGTGACAAACACGAATGACATGAATGTAAATACACAATTTCGGTAGTTTTCCACCAATGAGACACAAATAGACACAGTGTCAGGCACAAAACAGTTGTGTAAAGCCGTTTGTTGGAACATTATAATTCTTAGTACAGCCATAGTTGGCGTTCTATAGTGAATTTTTTCTTGAAATTTTATATGTACATCTGTATATGTACATCTGCTTTAATTGCATAGTAAGTATAATTTACAAAAATAAATTTTAGGCCGGTATTCATAGTCTGTTCTTATATTCAAGATCGTCTTAAGTACAAACTTATATTTGCTCTCTTCGTCAGACACAATCTATGTGTGACGAAGAGAGCGAATATAAGTCCGTGCTTAAGACGATTTTGAATATAAGAACGGACTATGAATACCGCCCTTAAACTTCACAATTTTCATAAAATAATATAGTACATAAAATATAATGGTACATAAAATAATATAGTATATAAAATATAATAGTACATAAAATAATATAGTACATAAAATATAACCTCAATTACTTTTTTATTTTGCAAAAACTAAATTCCCTAACAGCACACGATATCCTGCGTATCATCCCATTTTCATACTCATTCTACTGTGATTATCCGTTAAATACTGAGATCAATCCTATAATATCTTTTGCAGTATTATTCGGTTTTCTTTCGCACACGTATAATCTCAGGTTTGACTCAAACGTACGGAAGTGATACGTACGCACTTCTTTCGCACACGTATAATCTCAGGTTTGACTCAACGTACGGAAGTGATACGTACGCACTTCTATCGCGCGCGTATAATCTCAGGTTTGACGAAACCAGCACTAACCTGCGTCATTTACATACGTAATTCCTTTTCCCGCTTGCCCGGCATCAAGTGACACCACGCAACACCACATATCCGAGGTTTTACTGATATCGAAGATAATCCTTTTTCCTTTAAGTTTTATTT